TATTAATGTACTGTCATCTGTTTTCTTAGGATATAAAATACAAATATATCCAAAAATGTAAATTTAGATGAAATGTAGGCACAGATTCTGTTTTTATCCATCAGCAACTAAAAATCCAGCCAAAAGTATTAATTTAGAGATCAAATAACAGCTAAAATCTTTACATTCCTGCTAAATTTCAGATGCAAAATGATGTTTGTTTGTTTTTTAATTATGTAGATCAAAATGAATTACGTTTTACAATTTAACTTGCAATATTTAGTTATGTCCATTTAAACCAATGTAGCATTTGGGCATTTAAACCAAATTTCCATTTTAAATTTCAATGAAAATTTTTTTTTTTTTTAATAAGATTATCTGCAAATAGCATTTAAAACAGGGGTGGCCAACATGAGGCCCGCGGGCCGCATGTGGCCCGCCGGGAGTCGTGTTGCGGCCCGCGGAGCTAGGTCAAATGAACATAAATGTTAACTTTATTGTAATATCACCAAATGAACATTAGAAGAGTTAAGAAGGTTTGGAAGAGTTCTATGAAACGTATTTGGACAAGGATAAATATCTTGCGTTTTACAAACATGCTCTGTCAATGGTTACGCTATTTGGAAACACGTATGCGTGTGAACAACTTTTTAGTCGCATGAAGTATATCAAATCACAAGTGAGAACACGAATTACTGATGTTCATTTGGAAAACTGTTTGCGTGTAGCGACAACATCAGTCCAGATCAATTTTGATGCACTTACTTGTTAGTTCTGTAAAACAAAGTCAAATTTTTAAATTGTCTAATAAATATGTTTCTCGGTTATTAAATAAATGATTCTCGGTTATGTTTTATTTTCTTCAAAAAAATAAATATACCTATTTTTTGTGTTTTTTTACATTAAATCAGGCAAGTGTTTGACCACGATCTCACCTACTGGAAAGCAACGATGCGGATGAAGGTGTAGCACGCTTGCTTGTTTACTTTAATTAAAAAAAAAAATTAGGTGCGTGGCCCGGCAGGAAATATTATTTTTGAAATTTGGCCCGCCTGCTAAAAAGGTTGGCCACCCCTGATTTAAAAGATGTCCATAGCTGTTCCTACTAGTATAAATTAATAATATTTTTACAAACAAAAAAATAAAATCTTGACTTCTTTTAAGATGCCACGTATGAGTTATCCTGTAGAATGCAATCTATCTCATCACTTGATACTAACATTTTCATACAATATGAATATTAAAAATTAAGGAATAGTATATATGATATATCTGGTCAAAAAATTATATATAATCATATAATCGCATTTCGTTTGTTCAAAAAAATTGCAAAAGGGCCCATTCTATCCCTGGCACCATACAAAGTCTCGACAATCATGGGTCCAACAACTTGTCCAACAGTGCATCTGAAGTGAAGAGTCTACCAGAGATTGATGGAAAAGTTTACTCTTCACTGTCTTTTATGTTCTCCATAATGTTTATAAGTTTATATGTATAGATTTCAACCAAAACATGTTTTGCTCCACATAAATATAGAATTGTTATTGAGCCAGGTGGCCTAAAAGTCAGTTACCCATGATGTATTTTTTTAGTATTATTTTAAGAACGGCTAACACAGTGGTTTTCGAAAAAATAAACTACACCGATATAAATCCAGCAAAATTTAATAAAATAGAAACGTTTTCAATCGTTTTTCAACGATCATCCTCAGTTACCAAAATAGAAAATCAAATATAGAACATAAAATGCATTCGAAATAAATACAAAAAATAAAAATTAGCAGAACGCGCCCTGGCGGATGTATTAATGAAAAATTAACAAATAAACCAAATAAATAGTGAAAATTAATAATTGTAAAAGGATCTCCACGCAGTAGATAATGAGTCGGCGTCTCTATGGTTTATACAACCGGTTTTCATGTGCGCTTTATAGATTTCCAATCTCTCTAGATGTTTGATCGTTTGCCTACTATTCGTCGTTTTTATAATTGCCGCTTGATCCCATTGTACGTTAATATCTTGTTGTTTTGCGTATGATGCCAACACAGTGTTATCCAGGTTCCTATTGATTGTATATTTGTGTTCCTCGAGCCTTTGCTTTAGACCACTGGTGCACCTCAGTACCATGAAGTATAGTGCAGAGCATTGCTGTAACACTTCTTACAAGTATTTCAAAAAGTATTAAAAGCTATGGGAAAATCTATTATGAAACAAATAAAGCTTAAGCTTCAGAGTCCCTAATACTAGTGGAACCCTGAAACAAATTTTTTTTTTAACAAATGAAGTTTTCAACAAAATGACAATTTTTTTTTTATTTGTATTAAAATAAGACTATTTTAGTGATAGAATCATAAGTCAATAAGTTGAAGTATTTAAATTATTGATTTTAGAATATGTTCTAATACTCACTTCATATGATTTCAAAATGCTCCTGTATCTTAGAGGTTTGCAATGCTTGAACTCCTAACAATACAGGCTCTCCAGAATTTATTCATAGCCTAAATTTTGGCAGCCGGATTCTCAAATCCTTCATTGTGATTAGCATAATAATTCTTTAGCTCGGCCTTTAGGATAGAAGCCGAAAATAAGAGCAAAGATGCCCCCTAACAGTTCAAGTTTCAGTCTACCGAAAATTTAGATCCACTGCTGACTAAAAAACACAACAACTCTACTTTGATAAAGAATTAGGGGTGCTAAAAAGTTATAAAGTTGGGGGTGTCACTGTTAGAAAAAGGTTGGAAAATACTGGGCTAACATGTAGCTATTCCAGACTAATTTTAATCATTTGTATAATAATTGGTATATTAACATTTTTTCTTAACTGATTTTTTTGGGCCGTAAGAAATCCACCTGTAATTATCCGGCATTTGTGTGACTAACAGTAAGTACTCTCAATGCTACGTTTTTTTAAATTTTAAATGGATTCTGCTAAATAAATTCATTCCGTTATGATTGTACACTATAGTTTTATAACTTTATATTATCTGATGAACCTGAAGACGAGCCTTTGAAAGATTCAGGTTTATCAAATAATATAGTTATGAAACTGTAGTATATAATCACTACAGAATTAATACAGCAGAACCTGTTACAATTTAAAAAAAAATTAATGTTGAAACTACTAATTCACTCGAAACAAATGCTGGGAAATTAAAAAGTAGATTTCTTAAAGTTATTTTATTCATTTTTAGGCCATGCCATATATTCCTAAGGATAAATTACATATCAAAATCCTTTATCTTGAAAGTATTTTAATCGGAATCTAATTTTTAGCAATACATTGTATATTAGCATAGTGTACAATTTAACATAATCTATTATTATTATTGTTCATAAATAATATAGACAAGTAGTAAGAAACAGATTATAATATAAAGTTGCCTGACTGTCTAACAAATAAAAATAACATGTAAGATATTGATTTCCATTAACCCTCAAAGATATTGATTGATTATAGCCGGCAAGACCGATAGACATCAATCATCAAGTTATGATACGAGTAATTCGAAAACATAAAAGTCAAATAAGTTACTTTTGCATATTATATACAATTACTAATTTAAACTAGATTATATCAGTATTTTAATGTAATTTCAAAAGAACTTCAATGCTAAATGTAATATATTAACAAAGAAATTATAAGTTTTTCGGTATTTAGATGAAATGTTTTCAAAATTTAAATTTGTTGAAGACAGAGAAAGATATATTATGCTTAGCTACAAAGGAACTACTTGAAGAGTCTGCAAACTGAGCTTCAAAAATGTGATTAAGTTCAAAAAGATCTGTATTGCCATATTATTTCTATAGAATGATAAGTGCAAACACGTCTTTAGTCAAGTTACTAAAAAGGGAACATTGAGTAACGCATTGAAACTGCCAATGTTCACCGAACTACTATTCCGTAAGAGTCTGCCAGTCTAACAAGGATTTTGCTGGAAAAAATACTAATAGATGTGCTTAATAGAAGGAAAAATCTTGATTCGATTTACTGTGTGCTAGAAACATTTGTCTGCACACAGCATAGAAGTTATAAACAATCTTGAATGTCTGTATTAAAAGCATAATTTGAGATTCTGGTGTACCACTTGTACCACAAAAGCCATTAATGTCTATCAAAACACTTATCGGGTTTGAGAGGAGCTGAAGGATAAACAAATCTACAGATAATCAGTTTTTATACACAAACTGACATCCCACAAAATCCAGTCTTTGGGAGGGATGAGAATAATTTGTTTAATGGCATTGTTATTCAGGTTTGATGTACTAGGAAGAGATAAGGTGACACTACTGTGCACATGCAACAGTTATTTGCATAAGAATAAATGGAGCTGTACATGACACAGACACACAAAAGAATGTTAATAATTGTTAACAAAGAAGACTATTTCTTTGGGGATGAGTATGCCAATTACATAAATCCTTATTAAAAATGAAATTAAGATTTGATAGAATATCCACTGATTAAATAAGATGATAAATTTGACACTTGATGGCTTTTTAGATTCTATATTAAGCAATAGAGAGGTTGCGGCCGACGTTTTCAACGCAAAAACGTGTACGTCGGACGTTCAGCGCCGCTTTCCTATAAGCCTAGAAGTTTGACAATGGTGTTTGGTTAGTCAGTGGAATCACACTCGACATTCCAAACACCATTGCCAAACTTCTCGGCCTTCAGGAAAGCGGCGCTGAATGTCCGACGTACACGTTTTCACGTTGAAAACGTCGGCTACAACCTCTCTAATATGTTTAGAGACTTTAAATGATTTTGACAATAATTTTGAAGATAAAACAAAGAATATTTTTAAATTTAATTGATCCGTAATAATGTTANTATGAAATGGGGCAATAGTACTTCTTCCTGATCTTTTTTGATTTGAAACCATTTGTAGTAGAAAGGCATAGTATGACTGGCATCATGCTTCTACCGAGACTTTAAATGATTATGACAATAATTTTGAAGATAAAACAAAGAATATTTTTAAATTTAATTGATCCGTAATAATGTTATTTATTTCTTAACAGTTGAAAGTTCGATTAGATCGCATGGAAAGAAGATTGTCTCTTCTGAAGCACAAGAAAGAAAGCTCACAGAGTGATACAGATGATGCAGTTTCTACCAACTCATATTCACTGAATGTCGTCAATTCCACGTCAGATGAAATAAATAGCCCATCCGAGAAATCTTTCTGTTCGCCAGCCATCGTGTCTAGGTCATACAGAAGACACGGAAGAGGCGGCTTTAGAGGAGTCAGACGGTGGGTAAATTAGGGATTAAGTTACGTTATTTTTAAATTCATGATTTTATTCGGTATTTTCATAAATTTAAATATACAGTAAAACTTCTTTACTTGAAGCTCCAAGGGGCAGGAAAAAAGAGTTAGACAATTTGAGTTAGAGAACAATGGAGTAAAAATGCTGATTTTGAATAGATTTATACTTTTACAGAATTCAAGAGAGGTAAAAGTACAAATATATAAAGTATATAAAGAATCTTTAATTCTTTTTTTTTATTGTTGTTGTTTTAAACAGCCATATAATACCTTTCAGCAAAACGTTCAATGTAACTATTGGAATCGAATAGTTTTTAGATACATCTTGTTGAGATAAAGCAAGAGGACCTCTCACTTTAGACTGGAGCATCGTCTGAAAATTGATGTTGGAGAGTAGATAAAACTAACTGTATGGAAATGTCATAGAAATCTGATAATTAGGATCACTTTGGATAGAATAAATTGAAGTTTAAGTAACATAAATCGGTGTCACGGGACTATGAAAGATTTAAGAAATTCAAAGTTGGAGATGCTAAATTCCTGTGCTATTCCAAAGAGACCTACATTGTTTGCTTTGTTTTCTTCAAGTTAAAGAAATATTTGAGTTACGGATGTTTGAGTTAGAGAAGTTTTACTGTATTTTAAGAAATTATTTTTTTCCATCTTAAGAAAAACATAGAAAAAGTTACTTTTTAATAACTATAAAAAATTTTTTTAAAGTTATACTGTTGCCATGGACCCTTTGAAACAGTTTTAGCACATTGAGGCAGATGGGGTAAATTAAACCAGGTAAAATTTTTGTTTCTATGGTGTAAAAATGGACAAACTATGAAGATATCATGTACAAGAGCAAGTTAAAAAACAGTGAGAATGAATTTATTAATCATGAAATATATTAGGCAGGGTCCAGGTAGATATGGACTTTTTCAAAGTATTGAGTTTTGGCAGACATGTTAGATCTCATTTTTTGACATCGGCTTCAGATCTTCCTTGACTTCTTTAGGGAAGATCTGAAGCCGATGTCACAATTTTTCCATTGATGAGCCAAAACACTGGTCCTGTAGCTCCAATTTCAGCCAAGAGAACAAAAAAAACAGTCACACAGAACAAAGTCTGGGCTGTATATAAAGTGCAACACAAATTTGATGTGTTTGTTAGGCCAAATATTGGGCAATAACATTATCAATGTGAGGGCTCACATTATCTTGGTATAGGTGTCAACTGGATGGTTGCAGCTCACTTCTTTTGTCAGATGAATTTTTTAGTTTTTATTTAGTTTGATTTATCTGTTTTTAATTTATTCTAATCAATTTCATTTGCTTCATTTTTTTAAAATAGTTTTTGAACTCTTAAGCTTCGGCATGCATAAATTTTTTAAAGTATAGAGTTGGAAAATCTTGAATCTGTATGCAATTTTTATGAAAAAAAAAAAAATATTCATAAAAATTTGTTAAAATTACCAAACACCTTAACCACAGAATAAGCCAAAATGCATTCCGAGACATCATGTATTAATGAATAAAAATCGGAAAGGTGCGTGAGGAATCTGTGATCAGAATACTAAAGCAGGGTCATAGTTATTTATTACTAATTAATACAAATATAATGTTCTAAGAGTTGAATGGATGCAAAATTTAACAAAGCAGTATAAGTTACAGGTTTGTTTATAAAGATATTTAAAATATATTAAACTTTTTTAAGAATATTTAAAAAAGAAGGCCAAGATCCATAAAGAAAATTGTTCCTTTCATCCCTTGTAAACAAAGGGACATATCCTGCACATAATATCAAAAAAGCACTATCTAAATACCTCTGGATAACTTCAGATAAGTATCCTCTTTCTTGTTCATCGTTTGTTTAGGCCAAATTTACCATCGTAAATATTTCATGAAGTTTTTACTACTTTGTATGATATCTTTACAAAATAGATGTGGTATGTTTGTTCCTATCTATTCTATCAATATTTGAAACCTTAATATTAGTAAAAACACTCTTACTCAACAATAACATTTCTTTTCATCAAATCTTTTGGGGCAGAGATCTAATCAAGTTTATTGTAGCCAATAATTATTTAAATTTCAATGGGAAAATTTACTTACAAAAATCAGGTGTTCCTGCAAGATCACCGATGTTATCAATCCTGTAGCAAATTTTGTTGGCTGCTATACCGAGCAGCAGGTTTAGATTAATAACATTATCACTCCGAAAGAGAGTAGGTGAGTTACCCGAAGAACTGCTGTATTCTGACCAGTTGAACAGAAAGGAGCAAGCAGAGCACTCTGAGTACTCTAGAGCAGCCAGCCAAATTCACTTCTAGTAGAAATTCTCACAAGACAATTGGAAAACAAAATTTTTAATGTTTCCCTTATTATAAGATTTTTTTTATGTTTTAGGTACATAGACAAAGATTTAATTGCACTGGAAGGAACTGATGACAAATTTTATCAATTTACCACACAACATTCATTACATTGAACATTTCCCTCCTATAAAATTTACCGCTCTAGCACTATTTCCTTTTTAGATCATCATATTATGCAACACTAAAATCATTTAGAATTCAAAATTTATTATAAATCCAACTCTACTGTATACCCAAATTAATTTCACCTTAACATTTAACAATAAAAAGCATTTATAGTTTGTTCAGAACACATGTGAACACTTAAGAGTCTGTTGTGTTCCAGAAGTAGCCCCTCATTTACATCACTAATTTTAGTATGTTGCATTTTTGTTTTCCAAATATAAAAGAGCTTTAGTGAATTATTAAAAAATATTGGTTGCCATCGAATCACTACTTGGCTTTGAAATTACCATTGTATGAAATGGGGCAATAGTACTTCTTCCTGATCTTTTTTGATTTGAAACCATTTGTAGTAGAAAGGCATAGTATGACTGGCATCATGCTTCTACCATCTTTNTGTTCCAGAAGTAGCCCCTCATTTACATCACTAATTTTAGTATGTTGCATTTTTGTTTTCCAAATATAAAAGAGCTTTAGTGAATTATTAAAAAACTAGCAGACCCCGCCATGCGTTGTTGTGGCTCAAAATGTATCTATTATAAATGTATAACACTTCCCCCGTGGGGGAGAAATTTTTCGAAAAATTTCTTCTTAGTATACATTCTGTTGACGTACCCTATTAAAACGCAATCAAAAACGCAAAAAACCGCATCTGAAATAGTATAAATACAAGCAGAGTTCTTTACTGTAAGCCTTAATCCTGTCCATCCCCCAGTGCAGGAAATTTCGACACGTATATGATATAAAAACACATGCGCATTGGAATGCAGCGTTGTGTCAAAATTTCAAAGGAATCGGTAGGAACAAACGAACATTACATTTTTATTTATATAGATAGATANTACCACACAACATTCATTACATTGAACATTTCCCTCCTATAAAATTTACCGCTCTAGCACTATTTCCTTTTTAGATCATCATATTATGCAACACTAAAATCATTTAGAATTCAAAATTTATTATAAATCCAACTCTACTGTATACCCAAATTAATTTCACCTTAACATTTAACAATAAAAAGCATTTATAGTTTGTTCAGAACACATGTGAACACTTAAGAGTCTGTTGTGTTCCAGAAGTAGCCCCTCATTTACATCACTAATTTTAGTATGTTGCATTTTTGTTTTCCAAATATAAAAGAGCTTTAGTGAATTATTAAAAAATATTGGTTGCCATCGAATCACTACTTGGCTTTGAAATTACCATTGTATGAAATGGGGCAATAGTACTTCTTCCTGATCTTTTTTGATTTGAAACCATTTGTAGTAGAAAGGCATAGTATGACTGGCATCATGCTTCTACCATCTTTAAATGTATGAAGATCATCCAAGACATTCACTTCAAAGGACTCTAAAATTACAGTATACTCTCAATTATTGAGAGTATATTGTAATTTTAGAATAAACAAATTACCGTGTACTCTCAATTAATTGGTTAAAAATGGTTATTAATTATTTAGTTAATTAACTAAGATGTAATTCTCAGAGAATTTGTTTTTTGGCTCACATATCAATCTAAGGGCCAGTTTTTCTATGAAAAGTCTTTCTGTGGGATCACTTGACTGTTACATTGCCTTATTTTATCCATCCAATCATTTATTTTTTAAATAAAGTTTGCATGAAAGACTACTGCATGCTATTTGGACATTTCCAGATTTTCCTATTGGCTACAAGAACACAAATAGTCTGCACCAAGGCATAGATTCATTAGATAAAGTACAAGCATACATTGAAAAATGATTTACAAATTTATTTTGCAATACAATTTACTATAAGAATTTTAAATTAATTTTTGATATTGCATTTATATATAAATATTGTATTTTTATAGACGCTACTTTAATCGAACACACTCTATGTCAATCAAAAAGTTCATTCCTTCGACGACGACAGCTTCGGCATCCAATACCTCTACGGAACTACAGTGCAATCTAGAAAACAGCCCCGACAGCATCTCGAAAATAATCGGAGTGAGACGCAGGAGGGGAGGAGGGAGAAAAAAGGAAAGCATTCTGAGAACAGAAAAACTTTACTTTATGTCTCTTGGAAGGACATCGTCGGTGCAAGACGAACCACCTCAGGACAAGAATATAGAAGGTAAAATATGCATATTTTTATTACAAATGTAAATCCGTCTCTGTAATCCAAAAAACACACTTTGGTAGACGTATCTCCACAGCAATTTCTGGTTAGCAAATTATTTTTTATTTTCCATTGAACTACAAATATATTTCGGGTTGGTATAATGTACTCCAACCCTCCTCGGTGATTTTCTCATTATGTAAATTACAAAAAATCCTTTTTTTGTTTTTTGCTCAAGATAGGGGGTGGGAGGGCAAACCTTCCTCATCCTTAACAATCATTTAAATTTTTTTACACATGGGTATATAACAGGCTCAGTAAAACTTTTTAACACAGTAAAAATTGACATACGTATGTAAAGGTTTTTGACACACAAACTATATTATTAAACTTATACCAGTATCAGAATTACTAGGGAAAAAATTTTTTTAGCCATCGTAAATTTAAAATTCTCCGCTCTTTATAATTTAGAACATCACATAAAACAACAATTAAAATGTTTAGAAAATTCTGTCTATAGTATTAAAAATGCTGATAGTGTTATTAATAGAATACAAAAATTAAAAAAAGATAATTCTGATAAATTAATGAGTTTGGACATAAAAAATATGTATCCCAGTATAAATTGGAAATTAATAGAAAAAAGTTTAAGTGAACTTAATGTACATAATAATTTGATAAACATAATACAATTTGCATATAATAATAATTATTTTGAAGTTAACGAAGTGTTTTATAGACAGATAGATGGTATTAGCATGGGGTTAAAGATGAGGCCAAAATTAGCTGAATTAGTTACGATTGATATTGATAAAAAATAAGTGAAATACATGGCATAAAATTAATAATAAGATATGTGGATGATTATTTGATCGTATATAATAGTAATTTAACTAATAAAGAAACTATTCATAATTTTATAAATAATATAAATAAGGACATTCAGTTTGATATTAAAGAAGAAGTAAATAAAATTAATTACTTCAATATAACTATATTAAATAACCCTGATAAATTTGATTTTATAACATATAAAAAATCTTGCAATGTTAATAAAACTATAAATTATCATTCTTATATCCCAGTTATATGAAAAAGAATTCTTATCTTATGGAATTAAAAAATATATACAGTAATACCCCGAACTTACGCGATAGGTGGGACCGAGCGATAACCGCATAAGTCGAATTTGCGTAAGTCGGGGTATAATTTCGCAATTTGTGTAAAATCCAAATCGGATGTATGTAAGCTAATAAATGTTCTTGTTAATCTTATCTCGTCTTTTGATTCGTTCACGGTTACAAGAAATCACCACACAGTCTCTCTAGCAGTTCCGGCCCGAGTCAAGTTTTAAGATGGAGCGAGATCCTATTATGGTGCCCCCTTGGTTGCCCCTAATTTATACCCTTTAATTTTCTTTACCACTGAGGCGCCCACTGGGATTTAGCGCCTGGAGCGGCTGCTCCGTTCGCCCTATGGTAGGGTCGGCTCTGCTCTCAAGTCTCCATAGATATAACAAACACAGAAAAAAATAACTCAAAATAAATTGTAGCTATGTGTCAATTTTGTACGACATGTCCGAACATGTAAGCTGAACAATGGTGTGGGGAGGAGTGAATAATCAAGAATTGCGTGGCGCTCAAACAAAAGACGAATCAACGAGATTTGAAAATCGCGTAACTCCGGGTTCGCGTAAGTCGAGGTATTACTGTATACACGAATAACTGATGATCATAATAAAAATATTAAACTTAAAGATTTAGAAATAAAATTTATAATGAATGATTACCCAAAGTTTATTCTTACTAAATGGAAAACGTGTTACTTAAAAAACAGATATAATACGAAGTTTAAAAATGAAAAAACATTAAAAGATTTCCGTATATTAAAAATATTTTTGATTATTGTAGTAATAGCCTTAAAAATTATAACATTTGTTTGGCCACATCTTTGACCAATAAAATTTCACAGAATATACTCAGATATATTAATAAAAGTAGTATAAATAATATAGATTGCCTAAAAAAAGCTGGTATTGTATACAGGTTGGAATATAATTGTCAGAATCCATATATGTACATAGGTGAAACAGGGCGCATGTTAGATGTTAGAATAAAAGAACATCAAGTGGTTAAAAAATTTTTTTCCCTAGTAATTCTGATACTGGTATAATTTTAATAACATTGTTTGTGTGTCAAAAACCTTTGCATATGTATGTCAGTTTTTACTGCGTCTGTTATATACCCATGTGTAAAAAAATTTAAATGATTGTTAAGGATGAGGAAGGTTTGCCCTCCCACCCCTTACTTTGAGCAAAAAACAAAAAAAAAATTTATTTTTGTAATTTACATAATGAGAAAATCACTGAGGAGGGGTTGGAGTACATTATACCAACCTGAAATATATTTGTAGTTCAATGGAAAATAAAAAATAATTTGCTAACCAGAAATTGCTGTGAGATACGTCTACCAAAGTGTGTTTTTTGGATTACAGAGACGGATTTACATTTGTAATATACCATATAGCAAGCCGTTTATATATTTATGTTTTTGTTATGCACTTTGAGATATGGATTGGTTACTAACTTCAAACATTTTTCTTTATTTTAGTTCCTTCGTGGCGTTATCATCCTATCACTAGTTGTTACCAAATGGAAGGAACTGAAGTAAATGCATTTCTCTTATTTTCTACTTAAAATAATAATATTGAATAAGGAGAAATTGATTTCAGTTTTAAATCACTTAAAACAGATACTAATTATGATTATTGTTACAGGATATAGACGATGATGTGTTCTATAAAAGACACGTGAAATTAGAAAATGACGAAAGACGGAGAAAAAGGTGAATTTTATTTAAATTACATTTACCACAACAGATTATTGTGTACCTCTTAATCATTTGTATGTGTGCAATTAATTTCAATCTGGCAGCAGTGTAAGTTGCCATTGTTTGTTCAAATCAAATCTAACATCTGGCAAAGATTTTTATATTTTTTCAGTTATTAATGAATATTGGCTTTCGGGACACAGCTTTTAACCTAGATGATTTGCAATATTGCACTTTTCATTAGAAAATAAGAGACTGATAGATGGTCGCAACAGTAAAAGAGGTTGGCCAGAGTCAGGAACCTTGGAGCTTTTCATGGATGGTCCATCCAGGATGTGTCAGTCCCTGTACCTCACTACCTGGCCACTCATGTTATTGTCTGGGTGTAATTATTGTCTGAAGGATGAAGAGAGTTTAAACAAAGTGTAGAATGACAATTTAAATTCCTTTTATTAGTTAATCAGATATGCTTACATCTTTAAGCATATCTGATATAATCTTATTGTGTAGCAAATGCAGGTTTCTGGATTTCAATCTGATCCAGTGAATGTGTAATTTATCATGTGTAATGAGGATCTATGTCATTATCCATCTCTCATTCAAGCCAGCTAAATCTATTATGGATTGGACCTGGCACAAGTAGGGTTTCTCAAACGGGATCCCGGTTGTTTTTTTAACCTGGAAAATTCTTCTCATCCGGGAAATCCTGCAATTTCTTAAAAGTTCACTTTTTTCTTATTTTGTGTTAAGGTTGAGGAAATTTTGCAAATAGAAAGTATAATTAACTCATAAACTGTCAGAATACATTTGTATTTATTAATTTTAAACCTACTTATTATATTAATTTTTTAAATTTTTGCTTATTATGGCATGTCACAAATGGTCAATACTCAACACACAGCTTATTTGTGGCAGGACTCTGAAAATTCTTTACTTGTCGGAACCTGTAACATCTGGAATAATTGTGCTTACGCTGTCTTAATTTTTAACCATGCCCAGTAGCTTCAATAACTGCATAATGCCAGGTTGCACAAATTAGGCATGGATACAAATGAGTATGAAGTTTTTCTTCTTAAACCCAATGATTAAAAACAAACAAACTGCCGAATTATTGGGCTATAAGCTTGATGTTTCTATTAAAGCAGCCGAGGTAGACAAATCAGGAATACTAGAGAGCAAAAGAAATACTACAATCTCGAAAACAAACTAGAAATCTTCCAGGCTACAGGTGAAAAAACACATAACATCTGTCTTCTCTTAAATGCATTAAACACTATTCACTCACATCAATTGAATCGGAAAGAGCATTCTTGGTAGCAGGACATTTCATTACTAAAATAAGAATCAGATTGAGTGATCGGAGTATTGACCATCTTTGCTGTTCAAAATCTTATTATAAAAATTTACAATATTATTTTGTATTATGTTTTATTTAAAAAACAAAAATTACCTTTAAGTTAGAACTTTGATCTAAGTTCATTTTTTTAAATTTTCAACTCAATTCAAAGCATGTTGTTGTTGTTGTTGTATAGGTATACCTCAGGTTACATCGTTTCGAGTTATGTCATTCTTGATTATACATCATTTGTCAAAAAATTACATGGAAAAATAAAAATCAAGTTTAAGTTACTTTATTCAACTTTACGTCTGTCCGCCACAAATATTGAAATCGTAATATTACTAGAAAAGTGTTAAAAGCACACAAAATCATATTAAAATACATACATTTACAGTAAATGTTAATATAATCATCATAAATTGTAGAGAATGAAATATGAAAACATCTGTGACTCTGTGTCGTTGTCTTATTTAGCGGTCTTTAAGAGCTCAATATTTGCATTTTCCATGATAGTTCCAATATCTACTGTTTGGCATTGTTGTCAGCACCACTCGATATTGGTAAATTTAACATAAATTAGTTTATTTTTTACTATCGCAAAATAATTTTAATAACTGTATTTGTTATTTAACCTTACAAAATCATCTTATCTTATAATGTCTTGGAGCAAACCACATTCACAAATAAAGAGTCTGCGATGTACTATAAACATCACTAAATTGTAAACATGTATACATGTAGCCCTCGGTTTATGCTGCAGTTCCGTTCCTACAAAAGCCAGCGCAAATTGAATCGGCATAAAATGAACCCATATTTACATTGAGGTATAGGGTTAGGTTCTACATAAGTGAAAAATAAGCAAATAATTCTGTTTATTAATACAATATAATACAAAAACATATAAATTTAATTTTTTAAATGTATTTTATCATAAAATAAAGTGAAATGTTTTTATTTAAAAATTTTAGTTTCGGATCTTGTACATTTTTCAGAAAAAATCTGTCTTTAATTGTTTATATTTTTGTTTTCTTTCATTAAGAATTTTGGAATATGGTTGAATGAATGTAATGATGCTCCTTTTTACATTTGAACTTCGCTCCTAATCATTGTCTAACTCACAAAGTTCATCCATCAAACTTTCCATAGTTGAAAGGATACGTTAACCCGACATGAGGTACAGACGAGCAGATACACTGATTGGTCGACCACCAGTTTCCTTAGCACATATATAAGGTCAGTTTGAGCAGGAAAATTGAAGATGGCTAAGGAGAGAGAGATATCGTCTGACTGACAAGAAGTAGATATCATCTGGCTAATAAAAAAGTATCGTCTAGCCAACGAGAAGTAGATTTGTCTCACTAACAATAGTTTGTGATCGCCGGAAGTGCTACTGTATTGTAAGGTGTTTTCCTGAAAAAACTGATACGGGATACATTCATTGGCGCTATAGATTCGGACGCCATTTATTGGACTATTAAGTTTAATAACTTGACTCGTGGGTACCTAAGCATTTAGTATTTTAATATTAATTTAATGCAAAGGTATACATACCCAATAATATTAAACAGAAAAAATAAATATATTCAATAAAAATCTTTGTTTTAACGAATGTACAATGTTGCGGCTCGGTAAATGCGTCAACACTGAAATTAATATCACTCTAGCATAGGGAAAATCGAAGAATTACACTGCAAAACGGCAAATAGTGCAGCGGCGTTATTGTGAATCGGCGTAAATTGAGCCGGCGTAAACCGAGGACTACTTGTATTTAGAAGTATGTATGTACGTACATGTATTCGTAAATTTAGATTAATTTTTTCCTGTACTATATTAAAAACTAAAATTTATTTGTTGGTAAGCTTAAAATAGATTCTTATTAACCATATATTAAAAATGCATTTATAAATAAAATACAGAACTGGGAATGGTTATTTGTGACAAGTAATTTTGACTTAAGTCGCCTCTCCTGGAACCAATTACCCGACGTAAGGCAAGGTATACCTGTACGCAGTTTCCAGCAATCTTTAATAAATTTTTTCTATCTGTGAAAATTTATACATAATTCAAACATAATTTTTAATACATGCAGCATTATTAATATGATTTTGGAGGTTGCAGAACATATTAAATTACTTTAAAAAATGAAAAATAATTATATCATTTGATTTCAAGATATTTTGTATATCTTAAAAATAATTAATTCTATCCCGGGATCCCGGTAAACAGTTCGCTTTTTTCCAGATATCCCAGGAAATGACAAACCCTAGGCACAAGTGATTGAGCACTTTCAAATACTACATACTCATCAATAGGAACATTGATTTGAAGTAGAACTTAATCATTCATGTTTTATTTGCCATTAAATCATTATACTTTTCAGTATTGTAGCAATGTCAGTAGGAAAGTATGGCACACTCCTATTACGTAATCATGGAGTAACTATTTCCCAGTCCCAGCATTTTCTTTTTATTCTAATTTTATGAGGGGCATCCATAAAGTAAAGAATGTTTGTGCATAGCTGTGTAGGTAAATTACCACCATCAATTCGAGGTCAATTTGTTCTCTGATGCGTTAGCTTAGCACGTGTAGAGTTTCAATAATGGCAGACTTATTGTTACTGTTTTGTTAAGAGTTAAAATGCATACAAAAATTGAAAATTTCACCAAATACAAAGTGCAGTGTTATTTGTTTTCTAAATGCAAAGAAAGTCCATCCTGTAGAAATTCATAAACAAATCGCAGAAGTGTATGGTGATCACATTATGAATGAAACTGTGAGAAAATGGTGTTTAATGTTTAATCAAGAAAGATAATGCGTGACCACTCAAGGTTATGCTTCAGAAATTTGGCTGGAATGTTTTTGATCACCTACCATATGGTGCAGACTTGGTCCCCTTTCATCTCTTTTCCAAGCTAAAAGAGTTTTCGATGGATTTGGAATGGATGACAAGGTGAAATTCAGCCGGTTCCTTCAGCCAACTGTCACCAACTGGCTGAAGGAACCGGCAGCAGAAGTCTATGACAAAGTAATTCAAAAACTAGTGTCATGCTACAAGTGCTTTAATTGATGTGGTGATTATGTAGAAAAGTAACTGGTCTTGTACCAATTATTTAATAAAACTTTTTTCTTATTATTACTGTATTTTCATTTTTTTATAGCAAAAATATTCTTTGCTTTCTGGACACCTCTCATATTATTACTGTTAAAAGTGAAAATGTTTCAAGGTAATTTTTTTATAGAGAATTACACAGATTTCTTTATATAAATCCAGTAAACTGAATTTAACGCTTTTCCAAGAAATCCATACTCAAATCTGATCCAGATTTGAGTCTGGATCAGATGCTCAAAATTTTTATGATCATTCTGGACGTGTTGGGTTTTGTCTCTTGTTACACGGACCGCGGGCCAGGCTGACTGGCGACAAGCATTGAAAAGATCATTTTGGCTTCTACGGAGCAGAAAGTTCAAAAAATAAATTGGCAAAGAAATTGAATTTAGATTTGTTTCTTTCTTATTTTTCATTTCTAGTGCTTAAAAATTATTTTGAAAAATTGCATAAACATATTTTGATTAAAGAATTAAAAAGCATAAATTTTTGTTATTTTTCTACAAAATTTTTTAATACTAAACTGTTCATTTATCATCCAACATTATGGACTGGTGCCATATTTTTTGTGCCTATAACCTGCAAAGGTGCAGATCTACAAAAACTTTGCATGGTCAGCCTTGCCATATATCCCTCGTCCATGAAGAAGCCGTTACTCCCGAGTTTTTGAGTTCATAATTACAATTTAAAATTAACTTATAACCAACACTATCTTTGTGATCTATGCCTCTTTTCAAATTGTCTTTTAAATGCAGATAACTTATAGGTAATATGCATGAAAATATGGTATTTGGAAATATTACCTGCGACTTATGACGCTATAAAGGAGTCGACTGAAATGTAAAAGCAGACATAACTTGGATATCGGTTTGAAATTTTATTAATCGCTAGTGTACACTGGTTTCTCGAATTTTTATGAGTTACATTGAAATTATTTCATTTTCATGTTGAAATTGGCATCTAGTCTCACCTGAATTGTTGGTAAGATGCATTATTGTACAATAATGCATGACTAACACTGCATCTTACTTACAGATTATTTAACACAGATGTCCAACTATTATAAGACTTCTTTGTAATAGTCACAAGACAATAGTGCTTATCAAGTAGGCAGCAAACCTGAATCATGTGATACAATTCAAGTAACTTCAAGCTTGTTTCAATGTTCAAATTTCTTAAAATAATTCAATTTAATAGCCTCTACAATAATTAATTATAATTATATAACCTCTGTCTGTATGATCATCCCAGATACTCACCAGAAACAGATCCAACAGACCTTGGAATCGGAAGTTAAACACTAAAGAAAAAAAAAATAAAAGGCAGTATCTGAAAAGATGCAAGCTTGCATTGCTCTGCACTATAATCAGATGCTGTATCATTAGAGTTATCCCAGTTTCCTGTTTCTTATGCTAACTGATCCCAAGATAACATTATTATCCTCACCTTAATATGTTTTATCCATTTAAACAGAGTTCAAATGGTTCAGCCCATATTAAATACATAGAGACATTGTTTTTTGCTTCGTTATTATAGAAGGAAGATTAATGCATTTCATTAGAATATAATTTGTGGTTTATCACATAATATAAATTGAGGCGTCAATCAATTCGAAATCTAAAAATATCTTTATTTATTTTAAGATGGGACATACAGAGAATAAGAGAGCAGCGCATCCACGAGAAGTTACGACAGAAGAGACAGGCCGTCGACAAAGAAAGTAACGAAAACAGAAGACATTCCAGAAAATACAAGATAAATTCATTTTTTCCAGACCCTAAAGAAGGTATTTTTATCTTTACTAATCTATTTTACAGTTAATTCCTAAAACTAATTGTTATTTATAAACATTAATTTCAGTTCAAGCTATCGAAGTGTCCGACTTGGTTCCAGTTCTAGCATTCGGTCAGACCATACCGATTTTTCAGTCGAGGTATGCACGTTCACTTAGTTATTAGCATATTACGAAGATGCAGAATATTTTCAAGATCAAAAATTCCCCAAATGTACACAAAATTTCCATGAAAATTATTGTGTACTCCAGCATACAAAATAAAATGTAATTTATGAGCTAATTAATTAATAATTATTACTATGTGATTAGGAAAATTCTAATTAAACCATATAAATAGTTAAATATCCTTATAATTTGCTGTGCAACACGATAAATTAAAAGAACACTTCCATTTAAGCATGTTTCATCATTGTAAGATAGCACATACAATTATAAACTCAACACAATATTCTGCACAACTTGTAGCAATTTTATTTAATATTGTTTTGTTTAATAAAATCCTTTAAACTTAAAGGAATACTTTAAAATCTTTAAACAAAACAAGATACACAGCAGTGGCATGCCGTGACATTTGATGGTAGGGAAGCTGTGTTTCTGTAAGAAGCCGACTTCCGGGGGCAATCAGTTGGCGACGGTCTAGGGTCCATTCGTATTCATTTGTTCGATATCACAATTACATTCTAAATCGCTAGCCACAATATAAGGGCTGAAATTAAAAATAAAATTATAAAAACTTACTTGTTAAAATAAAATGTGTGATGGATATACAATTATACATACCTGGTACAAAATATTCAATTGTATGAATATAGTTTTGTGAAGAAACGTACATAAAAATAACATAAAATGTTCTTTACTTTTAGTATTAAAACAATCTGCATAGTTATAATTGCTCCCTACCAGTGGCTCATGGATGGAATCAGAGACGATCTTGGTAGGTGTATGGTGCGTGCCAAATCCCGAGGGTGCCGATACCGGTTAATATCAAATGCCTCTTTTGTTGCATCACTAGTATATCTCAAAGGACGCGACAGGGTTGTTGTAAATTTTAAACATTTCTCACCATAGCTGTAAAAATCTAAATTTGTTAAACTTAATTGTCATTTGTTTTCTAACTAATTCGTTTTAGGACCAGGTATCCATGGAAATTTCCAAAATTTACAACTTTTCAGTCACTCTCATTGAACTGGAAAAATTTCTGTCTTTATTGCATGTAATATTTCGAAGAAATCAGTCTCCACTGTACTCGGATATAGATTGGTTTGGTTAAGCTTTTGTTTAAGTAAAATTCCGGCTCTTTCATCAGGGTTTTGTTTACGTCCCCAATTCCCTAATCGCTTAATTATTTAACTACTTCTTAAGTAGAAATAAGTCGAAACCGGTTACTTTGTACTCGAATATTTGTAGTCTCGGGAAAAAAGTGGAAAGACAAATTTTTATAACAAACGGATACATAAATCGTAAATTTAAGGAAAATAAATTCTAGCGCTTTATTTGTACTGTACCTTGTGCGTCTCATTCATTAAATTTAGTTGTAAATGACGCTGTCAAAGTAACAGTTAATTTTTTAACATTATACAAGAATTGTACACGTTTTTTACTACATCCCCTTAAAAAAGGGATATACGAAATTGTAATATCACTGGTTTAACATTGAAATCCGTGAGTAATATAAAATCGGAGAGCGGAATAAAAATATCAAATATTTTAATGGATTTTTTTAAACTCCTGTCAACTATAAAGAACTATCATAAAAACATACCAGTAAATTCTTATCGGTTGGGTTAAGTTATAAATCTACTCACGATTCATGTAATCGGGCGAGGGTGGCTAACAGCCCAGAACCGGTCCCGGATAGAATTGGATGCGGTATATGTGTAGCATCCACCCGAGGTCCTAGGCTTCCACCGGCTAAACCAGGTGAGGTTGGTGCTCTGTAAAGCGCATGAGCAAATCTGGTGTTTTGGTTGCTGACAACACAGCACTTCCACTCCGCCACTAATATTCGAACATACAATAGCAATATTATTTTCTTTTTCACACGTACTATAGAAATTTGTAATAAGATACATAATGCAGTTATAATAAAATATTGTGCGATTATTTTCATATAATTAAAATTAATATGTATTTATTTTTTAGAAAATACAAGGGAAGCGGCGCATCCACTGCTTCCAATGACGGCATGCCACTGATACACAGATCAATTAGTCTAAGAACCAAAAAATTTTGCCTCACTAATTTCTATTTGATGCAATGCATTTCGAATGTCATTTTTTTATTGACATCATACTTTAATCACATCTGTAGTGTTCTTATATTTCTTTGTATTGTATTAGTCAAATTTTTCTGCCTATGAACTTTTTCGTATAACATTTGCCAGTAATCTTTCATATCACCTTTAACTTTCACTACTAGCATCATTCTCTTCTCTCTATACAGTGATCATTTTGGCAAATTTTTTAATGCAGATCTTTCCGGGACTGCTTTAATTTCCCCAAACATTGTTTGCATGATTGGACATGTTCTGCACCTCTGGTGTAATGGTCAAAGTTCAAAAATTTAAGTGTCGATGAGACAAAGTATATTATGCGGAAAAAATCCGCCCCGAATTTTGATCTTTGACCGTAATTGCACGCCTACATTTATATGGAAATTTATATGCTTCAATGCATTTTCTCTTTATTGCAGCGAGTTTTCTCTGCCTTGGTTCGACCCGAGAGAAAGTCAGGAAGTGACAACGGTTTCAAAGAAAAATAATACTCCGGACACGACAATTACCAAACGAACTGCCACTTAAAGATCGGCTCTTCAAAATGCGAAGATTAATACGTGACTGTAAAACCAGAAGCACACCATGAAGATTTGTCGTTGTATATATATTATATATGTATATTGATATTCCCGCTATCCGCTTTGTGTAAAATGAGAAAAAATCTCTGTTGAGGTATTTCATCAGCCGTGGATGCCATCCGTTGTCGTCTCTCGTCACCCAGGACAAACCCGCTTCCGATACTCACTTTTTCGAAGAGTACGATCATATAATTTCCAAACCGTTCGAAGAAGTCTAAACAGAACATGGGAAGTCACTAGTCATCCGCACACACGGTATCGCTTGCATAATAATTTCACCTCTGCATTCGGTAATTATACCGATTTACATTCTTCATTTACATTTTAAAAATTCCCACGGATTGTGGAAAGTGGTGCATCGTGCGTTGTCGCCTACGGGAGCAATTCCAAGAATGGTGGAACGTAAATCTGCATGTCTTTTGGAACCTCAAAGCAAAAATGGAGATTATCCTCTTTCGTATGTCATACATTGCCCACGGTTTCTTTACCGTTAGTCTCGTCCAGAATACACAAACCTCCCAAACGGGTTTCGTTCGTGTGGGACTAAACGGGACCTCGGCCGTGCCGTTTCAGATCTACGCAACCGAACTCTCGCGTGATCAAACACCTCTCGCACTTTCTCGCATTATAAACTAGCTACTTATCGTGTATTTGTGTTTCATTTTATCGGTTGGTAAACTAGGTGGATATTACGTGTGAATCAATATATCAGTGAAATGTTTCCAACGAATGTTTTTTGTTAAAGTTGTGGAAATCGATTTTTTGTTGTTAAAAAAAAGGGAAATCTGTATATTAATGATAGTTTTTAAAGACAATTTCAGATAAAAAAAAAATCTTCCAGAGTATGCAGTATGTATATATTATATAAATGTATAAAAATAACTGGTTCTCTATAAAAGCAATTTTAAATGTAATTTTAACTATATTACAAGTTAGCAATTTTAAAAAATGCGATTCGGATATTGGGATTTTGCCCTCTGGAGCGAAATTTCAAAGTTCTGAATCGTCACTTAGACAATGTTGTTAGAAATAAACGTGGTTCTAGATTTGTTTTCTAGAATCTAACTTCCTGCTTTTTTCATTTATTTTACTACTAGAAGCACGAAGATTGTCAAAATTTTGTTTGGAATGTAATACTCTTGTGGCGGGAGATTTGGAATCGAACTGCAAGATGGGTCTTGGACTTTGAGGGTTTAGTAATTGAAAAACCGTACGTGAATTAGAATTGGATTCTAGATATTACAAAGGAGTCTTTTGTGCAGTGTTATATGTGTGGCCTGTGCTCTTATATAACACAACTATCCCACAATTGAATTCTTACAGAAATTTGTAGAAGCAAATCACACATTTTTGTTGGTCCATAAGACTGAATATTAGTCGTTGCGTGCCCATTCAAATTAATTTTGTCAATCGGAAATTCCAGGTTGCCGTTTGTTTTACAAAACACAACCAGTTTGTTCACAGAAATTAATTTCTGCAATTCTCGTAATATTAGATCTGATGCATCTGGAATGTGAAACTGTGGGCCATTACAGAAATACAGTTGCAACTAGTTACTTCGGAGATTACATCTTATCTTTTATTATTTTTGCAGATGTTGAGATGATAGAATAGAATAAAATTTGAACAATATATTGCATTCAACCCAGGCTGCATCTGGATCAGATACAATGCTTCAATGAAATGTTTTGTCACAATTTAGATAGGAGATACAAATGCATACATTTTTGTTTAGTTTTTCTGACTAATTTTAAGAAATTTAAATATGAAACTAAAAAGTGTGTTAGTATTCTAGCATGCTATGTGTAACATCTTGATCCTCCTTCAGATGTTTTGCAGCATTCACTTTTATTAATTAACACTAAGTCCCATCACATAAATCTCATTTATTGTCCTGCTTCTCGGTTGGTTTTGGTTTAGTTTTCCACCTACAACAGCACCACCCAAGATTTTTTAAACATTCACATAAAACCATGACGAGGCATCAGAGCGTATGTGTTAGCCAGAGAAGTAGGTGAGGTTTTGCTGTCTACCAGACTAATGTCAACATTGCCTTCCCCAAAGAGACTGAGTGGATTGGAAACCTGCACAAACCACACCAGATAGAACAATACAGTAGAGCATCGATTTTCCGAAAGTCAATCATCCGAAAGAATTCTAGTCGGCAAATTTAAATTTTCGCCAGCGCTGTGGTGCTTCAATCTTTGCCTATGTCTTGGGCTACTAAAATATTTTACGTTTTTGATACTAAATTAACATCTGAAGTATAATTTTTTATTATTTTTATATTTTTCAATATATTTATTTTGTTTGTACAAAATAAAAAAATAATTTTTAACGATACAATAGTCTTTGTTAGGCTTAACATCGACGAAAATTCAACGCGAAGCGACACGCAACGGAGAAAAATTTCGACATCGGATACGTTAAACTATTTTTTCGTACGTAAATCAGTTATCCGAAATATCAGTTATCCGGACAACCCCAGTCCCCAATTGATTCGGAAAATCGACGCTCTACTGTATTTGCTTTTGAGATTTGAGCCTGATTCATAATAATAATTTGCAAGCTTGTGTCATAGCAATACCTGATTTCCTTTATGCTAAAGCTTATGTATTGTACAGTACATTGAGAGGATAGCAAATCAAATTATGTATACTATATACAGTGGTGCCTCGTATAACGGACGCTGCGAACAACAGACTTTCTGTTCGGCAGTTACGTGAGGTGAACAACGGTCTTTCTGCGAACAAGTGCGAATGATGTTTCCACTCTTTTGCTGTTGCCGATGACAGTCTGCTATTTTTATAATATATTAGTATAATTAGAATACATTATTAGTATATCTGAAGTACAGAGCTTCCGTTGGGATTTGGCTTGCTCCCTTGTTTATTACGTATAATACATCACCTCAGTGCAGGGTATTTATATTTATTCAAGTGTTGTGCAAATCATGGCTTCTAAAAAAAAAAAACAGAAAGGTGATTTCAATTGAAACAAAGCAAGACATCATCAGAAGGAGTGAAAGTTGACAAAAACTTCCTTGTCAAATGGGGAGAGGTTAAGGAGTTTACCAACACTCATTATCCAAACAGAGCTGAGGCCAACAGGATCAATGATCTCTACAATGACACCCTTGCCCGTCATTTCCGACAGGTGTTGAAGAAGAGAGAGAAACAGACCACCTTGGACATGTTTTTCAAGAAGCCTGCTGCCAAAAAAACAAAGGATGCAACAAGAGGAGTTGACCCTGCAAGCTCCGGTAGCCTCTCCTGAATCTGACTCCGATTAAAAAACAATAAAAAGAGACATGCTGAAATGTGTACAAAGTCTGAATCTGTATGAATGTGTAAAGAAAGTGTTCCTCCACGTCCTCCTCACATCTGACTACCCGGCATAATTGGTGACTGCTCCATTTTCATTTTTTTATGGTACAGTACGGTTATTTATTGCTGCGGAACAAATTATATGTTTTGACATGTATTTCTATGGGAAAATGTGTTTCGTATAACGGACTTTTCACTTAACGGACATGCACCTGGAACGGATTAAGTACGTTATATGAGGCACCACTGTATATTTGCATAACCCTCGATTTATACACAACTGAAATTGTGCTATTTATGTTTAAGTTCAGAGCTACATGGTGGTGCATGAAATGAATCATTTGTTTTATTAATAAAATCTTTATTGAAATTACAACAACAAAGTAACATAAGAAAGACCGTTGTTCCTCTCAAATTGTGTTTAATATGTGTAACAACCTATTCGACACAGACTGCAATGTTGTTGGTCACTCAACAGTACGTATCCTCGGTTAGCTTCTTGCAGATCCAAACGATCAGTGGTCTCAAAGAACCATCGAAATTTGATCTTGGAATGAAATTTTGAGGGATGGAGGGCATGTGCAGAGTTTTGGGCTCAAAGTAAGAGGAGGGGAGATATAACTACTGCATTCACACACTTGCCCAAAAACTGATTTCATATATGTTGGATGCAAATCTTTGTTTTTTAGATGATAATTTCATTTGAACAATACAGTAGTAATATTAACACTCCTTTCAAGTCCAGTATTGTTTCAATAGTGCTGACAATTGAACAGATATAGGTTGTACCAGTTGCCCATTTACATAGGTGCTTGTGAGGAATTGTGCTATCAGAGTTACATATTTATCATGTTGGTTTACAATTTAATATGTTTTCTGTATGTAATACTTAGTGTCAATTATCTCAAAATCTTTTAGGGCTAAAATTTCACTTACTTTCATTACATACCATTGTCTTTTGAACTAGCATTATTGCATTGATGGATGCCAGTGTTGAACCCATAGGATTCCCTTTTCATTTGTCACTGTAGCTTTTGAAAAAAATTTTCTTGGAGGAATCCCCAAGAAAGTAGTCACGTGGGTTCGAATCTAGATTATTTGGATCTGGTTCAGTCCATATGCACATTAATCTATGAATCAATTTTAGATGACAAATCAAAATATTAATCCCATACGACCCAGCTCTGTCCTGCACAAACCTTTGGAAAACTTATAGCAAGAAATCGAGGCAAAAAATTATTGCTTTAACAGCACTTGCTGTTTGCTGTCTATTTTAAAAAGTTAGCTCTGAAAGTTCTAATGTAAACACAGGTGACTACTTTCTTTGAAAAAATGCCAAAGTAAAGAAACAGTACTAATAATTTGGGCATATAACAGAATATGTATCATGGAATGATTGATGCAACACAATTTGCATTGAATAAGTTGCCACACACAACAGTGACCATGTTGAACATTTGATTTGTGGATAAACTTCCATACATTGGATGTTACTTTCTGCTATTGTAATTAAAATGAAGACAGCTTATCAGAATTGATTTTAAATGAAGACTTGTTGCAACTTATTTTGTTTCTTAGCTCATGATTATACTACAAAAATAGACATAAAATTTAATAGTTTCACATGAATTGATAGTGCAACAGAAGAATACAAAGAGGATAGTTTTATGACTAGCTCAAGTTTTTCATTGGCACAAGATGTTACGAGACATGGAACATCTGTTGGTTCTTCTGTCATTTGGCACAAGAAGCAATATGTTGCTTCTGAAGGATGTCATATCAAAGATAACAGTTAACTTATAATTTTTACAGTTACTTGCCATTTTCCTAATGAACCTAGCTCTTTGTATTAATGGTATAAAGTACAAATTTTTACCTCTGGGTTAAATAAATATACACAAGATTATTGCCAATATAATATACTATAAATGTATATCTTATAATAAACAAATAAAAGAACTTGCAAGTAGTAATATAAGGATTTTAGCAACATTTCAAGTCAGACACTGCAAAGCAAAAGCACAGTCTTCTTGTGGTATTGCCAAACTCCCAGCAAGTTCTAGTTTCATTTGATCGCCCACAGTATTTTCCAGTATTTCATCTGAAAATCTTAAACTATTCACCGTCCAAAGAACTTTCATCATTTATCTTGGAAGTATTTGCTTCTAGCCGTCCGACACGAGCAAAAAATTAAGAATCTGCTTCGTGCATTGACGTTCTTTTATGACATTAACCAGTTCATACAAAAATTACACATACAACTTTTATTTATACATGTTCAATATAAAAAAAAATTACACTTAACATCAACCATTAAAGTACTTCTTTTTATTTTTCTAAATTCATGTTGCGTTTATAAAAAAATGATATCGGAGATATTGTCAGACAGTTTATTTGGTTTACAGTACTACGATGATAAAAGGGAAACAAACAAAAAAAAATTGTCAATATGACAGAGCAAAATAAAAGAAAATTATGCAACAAAGTAAAGAAACTGCATGATGAGCCATTATGAAATAAATCGTACTTGTGATTATTTACATAAAAGAGACAACATCCGACTTCTAAAACGAAAACATTCTGTGAAGTTAATGTGGATGATCATGATCCGAAAACACAGACCTCTGTGAATAAGCATGCAATATATAGTTTATCTTACTTTATTATTATTATATATTTTTTTTTAATTTTTAGATTTGCCAGCAACAATGGGCACAAAAAATTAGTCCCATGCAACAT